GCAGTGAAGGAGGGGCGTCCACAGGAGCAAAGGGCTCAAGCAGAAAATCGTGGAGCTTGTCCAGAAATCCACACGGGGCAGGAGTGGGAGTCAGTAAACAGTGCTGAGGGCTGTCCTGGGGCCAGAGCACCGGCTTCATGGCCCATTTGGCCACTCTCTGGCTCTGTCCCAGGGAGTTCTGTTTCATCTCTTGTCCCATTGTCAGCCTAGGTAGAAGGCAAGACATGGACAGAGGAAGTATGGAATGAGCAGTGTGAACAAACTGTAAGAATAACAAGATGAGGGTGACCACAAGTGGCACATTACACCACATTGCAGTGTGCCCCTCCACCAGTGGGCTTTGGGGGCCAGGACACATCTGTGCCTAACCATGTAAGGTGAAAAACTCCCCTGCTCGATGGCAGGAGGGGAAAACATCCCCACTGGTCAGGAAAAAAGGGGACGAGGCAGCATCACAAAGCAAGAGAGGAAAAGGGGTGGCACAGAGCTCCCAGCCCCACTGTTCGTTTGACCATGTGCCTGCTCCTACCCTCTTAGGAGTGTACTGTTGCTTACTAATAAACTCCTTTGCTCGCTGACTTGAACTTTCGTATCCCTCGCTTTCCTTCTTCAATCGTGAAGATACAAGAACTGAGGGGTTCAGTTCAACCGCCAGTAACACCATGTCCTGCACCTCCAGTGAAATGATCTGCCCACCCCCAGGGTGGTGACCACACACCACACTGCACTCAGGACAGTCCTGGGTTACACTGTTGTCCTGGTGTCCCATCCACTTAGTGTCCCCTTTGCCCTGCCATGTGCCCCACTTATTGCCATGAATATTATGGTCACCCTGTGCATAGGATTGTGGTTGTGAAGATTAAAAGAGGCTTACAACAGTGCCTGGCATTTCGTAATTGGTATACAATTGTTTTTCATTCATGTTTTATTGAACATTCTCATGACAATTGCCAAGAAATTATATCATAAGTGTTCTTACCATAAACACAAGTTATGTGAGGTGACTGATTTCTTAATTAGCTTGAATGAATTCTTTCACAACACATATATATATATCAAAATACATCTTGTACACCATAAGTATGTACAATCTTAATAGGTCAGTTATTATACCTTAATAAAGTTGGGTAAAAATATTAAAAAGGAACAATTTTAGAAGTTTAAAATAAATTGGAGCAGGGTTCTGGGAAGATTAATGTGGCAACAGAATGCAGAATATGCTTGGGAGAGAAGCTATTTTTTAATTATATCAAAAAAACTCTCTGAAAAAAGGCAAACTCAGAAAAAAATCAAGTAAACATGATCAAAATACAGTGTTTTATTTTTAAAAATGAAAGTTTAGCTGGAATCCAAATATGGCTACTCTGAATTTTAGAGAATGTCAAGTGCAAGCTGAGTTTTCAGTGGTCTCTGACAGTTCTTAGTAGTCCTTGGAGGTTTATCATAAAAACACTTGTTAATTATGTGGAAATGATGACAAGCAGCTGACATTTACACAGCACCTGCCCTGGGCCATGCGTCATTCTCAGGACTTGACTCCTTTTAACTCATTTAGGACTCACAGCAATTCTAGGGCTATTCCCACTGTAAAAGGGACACAGAGCCTGGAGTCTCCTGCCCGGTGCTGCACAGTCAGTGACCGGGGAAGCCGGGACATGAGCACAGACAGTCTGGCCGGGTCCTCACTCACCACCACCTGCCATCGGGCTGGGCGAGGGAAGGGGCTGTGGAACTTGCAGAGACGTGACGCAGCAGACGCTGCAGGGCCAGCTCTCAGCCCGGCCGTAGCTGCCCGGGCCTCCCTTCCCCGTCCTTCCCTGGAGCCCTGGGAACGTCCAGCTGAGCTCTAAGGGGTAATCCCAGCGCTGTGATGTGTGTCCTCCTGTGTGTGTCGGGGACAAAGGCCTCTGTCCTGGGTGCCGTGGACTCCCCATGGAACCACTGGCCTCTCCTTCCTTCCATCCCACTCCAGAAAGGAGAGCCCAGGAAGTGTTCCTCAGTGCCTGCGGTCTCTGCAGAGGAACCACACTGTCCCCTTCACTCAATCCCAAACCCTTGTCACCACGTACACCCAGGGGAGCTCGGTCTTTGCAGGCCTCTGACACGTTGGGGGCGCTGGTTGGGAGGTGGTGCTGGAGGGACATGGACTGAACACTGAGCAGCACAGCCGTGGGCCTGGGACCTCTGGCCAAGGTCAGGGAGGCCCCTGGTCTAGGAGAGGCCCCAGTGACTTGGCAACAGTCACCTTACCACCAACCAAGCTGTCCCCAAGACCAGGGGACAATTTCCCTAAAGTGTCTGTCCTGGGGAAGCGGCTCCCCATCCCTTGTCTAGACGTGGCATAATCTCGAAGAGGAAGAGGTTCACCTCCAAAGAGATGTCTGAAGTTGATTTCCCACCGGCCTCCTAGGTGAGGGTGGAACTTAGATGAACAGAATGAGGTTAGAAGAAAGAAATGTGGGGCCTGCTGCCCCCACATGCTGTGGAGCAGATTCGTAGCTATGACTTAGAAGTAAAAAAAAAAAAAAAAAAAAAACCCATAATGAGTAACTAATCTTCAAAAAATTCTTCTCTAGGCTCTTGTGCAAATGCTCACTTCACTGAGAAATACGGCTGTCTAAAAATGTTGCTACTCAATATTAAGCATGGCAAGGCCTTTCAAATGCCAAAAAATATGAATGTGCCCATATCTGAGGTCTTCTAGGGCCCGAAGGCAGGTCAAATACCGCTCTTTCTCGCCACACACTTTATTTCTCTGCAGAGACACCAGCTCACTCTGGACAGAACCTGTGAATGAGGGACCTTTGCAGCCCGTTGTCACAGCAGGGCATCAGTAAGGGACACTGAAGCACACTAGGCTTCTCCAGTTTCTGAACCGCATTCAGGGACCTGAGATAAAGTCCCCTTTTGAAGAGAAAAGGTCACACCAGCAATACAGTACTCTGAACTTTTGCTTTTATTCTCCCTGCAAAGGGGTTTGCAAAGGAGCATGTTCTGGGCCAAGTGACCATAATTGATTCATCAGAGGATGATCAGGTGTCTGATAAACATGGAGATTAAAGAAAACAGAACTTCTGCAGAGTGGGCACCCTGTACCTAAGGTAGGGTATTCTTTAGATGAGAAAGAAAGGGGCCTCTGGCTAGTAGGTGACAGGGCAGGCCCATAAGGACGGGGGCACCAGACAGAGCCCCCAACAAGTCCTGGCCAAGGAGACAGTCTCCTGTCCACTATCACTGCCCTTCTGTTCTATTTGGAATGAAGGAGGCCGGCCGTGGCCAACTGCATAGAAGTGCACATCTCGGTACACGCCGCCTTCTGCTTCCTGTCCTTTTCCTGAGTCAGGTATGTTCTTGGCAACTGCGGCTCCAGCTCAGTCATGGAAAGATAACATCCCGAGTAATCCAGACAGCAAATAATGCAGTCGCAGATTAGGAACAGACTCTTCTCTCTGGCTCGCTCATTCTTTTTTATAAACTCTCTTATAAACTTTTATAAGCTCTGTTCTTTTTTATAAACCTGTGCCAACTTTGTTTTTCTTGTTCATGTTACCTTCCCCTTGTCCCTGATTAAACTGGGATGGGCTTTCTGTCATGTAAAGTTGCCCTGTCCCTCTCCTATCCCCAAAGGCATACCATAACTGCCTTCTCTTACCTTGCCAAGTGCCATCTGCCCTCAGGCCTCTGCACTTGCTGTTCCCTCTGCCCTGAACTCTCATCCCGGATCTGTCCCTGGATATGGCCGTCCGCTCATCCCACCTCGTCCCTCAGGCTGTCTTGGATGTTTGCAGGATGCCCGGCAGTCAGTCTTGACAGCGTTCTGCTTGTGCACAGGTTTTGCATTCTTCGCAACAATTACCACTTTCCGATATCTCGGATTTATTTGTAGGTTTGTTTGTTGCCTTCCTCGTTAGAAGGCAAAGTCCACAAGAGCAATCACCTGGTCTAACTCGTTCCTACAACTGAATCTGCAGCCAGGAGCTCAGGGCCCAGCTCGTAGGAGAAGCTGAGTAGTTACATGTTCTACAGAGACTGGGTGCAAGGATCCCAACTGCCATTTATTCATGGTTATCCCATATTAGACCTTGTGACAGAAGCTTTCATACAGTATCTGTCATCCTTACAAAAATTCAGCATGGTGTCATTTATACCCACTTCGCAAAAGAGGGAAAGAAAAGTCAGAGAGCCCAGCAGTGTAACTCGCCCAAAGACGTGTCAGGACTCTATGCTGCCTCCAGGATCCAAACCCACATCCACACGAGCCCAAATGCCACAACCATTCGCCATCCAGCACTGCCTGCCCTTCGCAAGCAGTTACTCTGCCAATTCACAGCATCCTGTGAATCCTTGCAAGAAAAACCCGAAAAAGGCAACAAAGAACTAAACAAAAATTATCTCATGTATTCATAATGGAGTGAACTTATAAAGTGGAATTAAATTAGTGAAGCAATTCTGATGAAGAAAGAAACGAAAGAGAAAACAAACAAACAAACAAAAACCCCCAACTTTCATTAGATGTTAGATCTTAATGAGTTTTCTCCAGAACTTGAAACACCTTTCCTGAAAAAGGAATGAATGTCTATGGGTGAGGAAGGTCTGCCTCCCAGAGGATAATTGCGGTATTGCACCCAGCCCAGCTGTGGACTCAGAAAACGGACAGACAGGAAGGTTAGGAAGCTCTCTGCACCTTGAACAATAAGTAGAAGAGGAGGAAGAGGAGCAGGAGGAACAGACGGAGACCACAGTAATAATAACAAGTGATGACAGCACAGGCTCACACTGTTGGATTTGCTCTAGAGTTTGGAAAACACTTTCACATCCATTTTACCTAAAGCCATGTGTCATTACTGCAGTCCCCAAATTGTCATGGATCCAACAATCCCTGCCTTCTTGGTTTCTACACACTGGCTGGCGGGGTTCCCCTGGGTGCGCATGATCGTTTCCTGGTGCCGTGCCAGGCCGAATCTCTGACTCATTCCCTCACTCCTGGGAGGGATGGGGTGCCTGCCTGGGGAATAAATAGAGCACTTCTGGGAGCCCAGCTCCACGGTGACTTCCTCGCTCCCTGCCACACACGACTGGACAGCCGACAACAGCGGCCCCACCATGAAGCTCCTGACAGTCCTCCTGCTGGTGGCCCTCCCCCTCTACTGCTCCGCAGGTGAGCCCCGTGCAGGGACAGCCTGTGGGCTGGGGGTGCTGCTTATTCCCTCTGGAAGAATTCTGGGTCCCCAAGTCCCGGCACAGGGCAGCCCCAGGACAAAGGGTCTACGTGCAATAGACCTTAGCATGACGATTAATTGCAGACAACCAAACAGGTAATGCCCTCATGGACTTTGCCCTGCTCAGGAATGCAAGTAGAGTCTCATTGCGTTCAGGGTATCCCATGTGGGTCACAGGGACCCTGAAAACCAACACAAGTCTCAGGATCAAATATTGGAGTTAGCTGTTCAGTGGGGAAGGGAAAGGTATAACTGAAGGCCCCATGACATCTGCATCCAGAAACCATGAAACGGTCACGAGTCTCCTGAAACGGGGGAGGGAAAGGGAAACCTCCCAGAGAGAAGGCTCAGGCTGCAGCGTGGGACCCAGCGTCTCTCCCCCTGTGGGTCTCACTCTGCATTTGCAGGGTTGAACCGAGCCCTTCTGGGATGCCCTCAGCTCCCAGTTCCTTCCTGCTCCAAGCAGACTGGGGAGGAGAACACATGGCTTCTGGGGTCTCCCACAAGCGATGAAGACGGGGACAGGAAAAAGCCCTGGGAGCAGAAACGTGGGCAGCACTTGCAGAGCACGTAGCAGGTGCGCCCTGTGCGACTGACTAAGCCCATTGACACTCCCACCTCTTTTCTTCCCAGAGTGGGCGCGGGTGGGGAAGCAGGTGATACGCTCACAGTCAAGTGCATAGAAATCGCTCAGCCGAGATTCCAGCCAGTTCACGGGAACTCGCGGCCTGAGCCCTTTCCCCTCCACCCCAGGGGCGGCCACGGGAGATCACTTCACAAACAAGTTCTGTTTTATGTTCTTTGTTGTTGCAGACAGTATTGAGAGTCAAGTCGAGCCAATGGACAATATTCTAGACCCAATACCTCCATGATGCGTGGAAATCCTACCTGATGTTCTGAACGATCATAGGGAATCATTGCATGGCTTTAAACCAAGCAAGACCAGATAATGTTTAATATGTTGCACCAAGTCAGAGCATCTCCATGCTCGAGTGTTCCTTAACCAAGCAGGGTTCACCTTCTCAGGGATTGGGAGGTAGTAGAAAAAGATGCAGGACTTAAAGGGAACCCCAGAGCCTACGTTTACTCTCCTGGAGTTGAGAACTCTAGACCACGCACCATAATCTTTCTGAATTTCAGTCTCTGCTGGGATGCACGCAGGACTGATATAGGCGGGTTCTAAAATGGGTGCACACTTGCGGTGACGAGCCCATGCTGTTATGCTCTGTTCTCAGGTTCTGGCTGCCAACAACTCGAGAATATAGTTGCAAAGACACTCGATCCAGACATATCTGTGGATGACTTCAAAAATTACCTGAAAGAGTACATAGACAATGAAAGGAGCTCAGAGGCCGTTGGGGAATTTAAACAGTGTTTTCTCAAGCAGTCAGATGAAACGCTGAAAAATTTTGGAGAGATGATGGTAACTTTGGTCTTTTCTCATGTGCCTTTTAACTGACCGGGAACAACTAGGCTCTAAACTTGGCACCAGTGGTGCCAAGCGACTGGTGAACAAGCTTTTTTAAAATATCACTTAATTTAAATGTGTCTCTAGGCTACTTCGCCACTTCACTTTGAGAATCTTCAGTGAATGATAAATGGAAAAGGCAAAAGAGAGAAAAGAAACCTCCAGAAATGGCTGAGCTACCCCTCAACTCCACAGGACATACACAAATGGACACTCACATAGACACACGTACACACACAGACATGCACGTACACATGAACACACACAGGGACAGACACAAACACATTTTCTATCAAGAGAAAAAATCTAAATCTCAAGGAGCCACTCACTTGTAGGAGACACCAGCAAAGAAACTTAACCTAACTCTTTATAAAAAATTAGAAAAATGGTCTTAAAATTTTTATAGAGTCCAGAAAATACCATTTGTGCATATTATACATATTCCAATATAAAGAATTTAAAATGAATGTCTGAGCAACCAAGATTTAGCATAGTTAATTGGAAATCATACACCATTTAATTAAGTAACTTGTGAAATAGAAAGTGTAGCTTACAGGTATGAAACCAGCATAGATGAAAGAATTATTTGAAGGAAATGTCAATTGTTATAACGAGGAGTATCTCTGTCTAGTTATGTATACATGTTGTTTGGGGGGGGTAGCATTTATTTAATATCCCAATATTTCATTTGAAACAATCCATAGGAGAAAATTTAGAAATGTACCCCAATTTTTAAGGATAAAAGGGAACATCATCTGCAATTTAGGATTATGGGAGCATTTTTTTTTTTTTTTTTTTTTGTTTTGAGACAGAGTCTCACTTTGTTGCCCAGGCTAGAGTGAGTGCCGTGGCGTCAGCCCTAGCTTACAGCAACCTCAAACTCCTGGCTCAATCAAGCGATCCTTCTGCCTCAGCCTCCCGAGTAGCTGGGACTATAGGCATGTGCCACCATGCCTGGCTAATTTTTTCTATATATATTATTGTTACCAATTAATTTCTTGTATTTATATTAGAGATGGGGTCTCACTCATGCTCAGGCTGGTTTCGAACTCCTGACCTCGAGCAATCCACCCACCTCGGCCTCCCAGAGTGCTAGGATTACAGGTGTGAGCCACTGCTCCCCGCCTGCATTTTTTGTTTTAAACCAAAATATGTCAATCGTTTTTAGTGTAGAGCTCCAAGAATCTGTAGTACTCAAAGGTAATGGTGGAGAATCTCAATCTGTTAAAATATTTCTAACTTTTAAGACCATGCAAGAACTCAAAACCATCACATTGTATGTGAGCCTGAGATTTTAACAATTTGTGTTGAAAAGTGGTATCAGAAACAGTTTAAATTGGCAGGTCTTCAACAAATATATATCAGCATATTTATTGATAAATTATTTCAAAGAACAGAGATCTTGGAGGAAACCATTTTTAAAAGGAGTCCCGATAGGGAAAATATCCAGAAATATCAGCACCCTCTTAGTTATTAATAAGATACTTCTGATTTTTGTGCCCAGTGCTAATTTCCTTGGAGTTAGATGTTTGGACAATGTCGGAAAACAACAAGAAAAAAGCTTTCTGGATTTCAATATTTGACTTTGTGCAAGAGAGAATTTGAAATCTTAAGTGATATGTCTGTTTTTGTTTTCTAGCAATAATATACGACAGCCCTTGGTGCAAACCCTTTAACTTTCCACAAGACCTTGGCTCAGACACTGCAGACGGACTATGGTCAGAACCCAACTTCTGATTGCTAGAAACCACAATTTTCCTTCTTCCTTTGCTCTTGTAAGTGGAAACTGCAAGACAATTGTTGAAACCTCACATCATCTTAATTCAATAAACTAACTGCAAAGCACTAAATTCCTTCTTTCTCTTCCATAAAAACAGAGGCTTTCAGGGCCTCCCATGTCAGGGTGCTTGTTGGGGCAGACCCAGACAGGCAGGGAGGATTCGGGAGGGACTTTCTTCCTCACTTGGCCCCCAAGCCTTGGCCTCTCTGAAGGTGCTGTCCCCCCTTCATCTCACCACCTGCCCACGAGACCCTCTCTGAGGTTTGACTTGAAGTCTGCTCAGAGTCCTTGTTCCCGACCATCCTCCTGTCCACGCTGGGGCCCTGCTGGCCACCGGCCGGCTCCTCTGGGCCCGGGCTCACTCTAACCTCACTCGGTGGCGTGCAGGGCCCATGAGGTGAGGCGTGCAAGCAGGGTGGATCCCATCTTGATTAAAATTTCGATTTTTATTCATCATGGATTTGGGTATTAATTTTGGCTTTTAAAAATATTGGGCCGGCGTCGGTGGCTTTACGCCTGTAATCCTAGAGCACTCTGGGAGCAAGGCGGTGTATTGCTCGAGGTCAGGAGTTCGAAACCAGCTGAGCAAGGAGCGAGGACCCCCGTCTCTACTGATAGAAGAAAGTTTAATTGCCAACTAATATAGTTATGGAAAAAATAGCCGCATGAATGGTGGGTGCTGCCAGTAGTCCAGCTACTTGGGAGGCTGAGGCAGGAGGATTGCTTGAGCCCAGGAGTTTGAGGTTGCTGTGAGCTAGGCTGACGCCACGGCACTCTAGCCGGGCAACAAAGCGAGACTCTGTCTCAAAAAAATAAATAAATAAATAAATAAAATATATATGTGTGTGTGTGTATATATATAGCATTAAAATATTACCTACCCTCGGCCAGGCACGGTGGTTCACACCTGCAATCCTAGCACTCTGGGAGGCCAAAGGAGTCAGAGGGCTGCAGGTGTGTGTGTGTGGGCATGTGGTGACAAGGGGTTGGGAGCCGAGTGCAAAGGTCGGTGTGATTCCTTTAAAGACAGCACGGATATTGGCAAACACTTCCTGGCTTCTCCTTCCAGGAAGGGGCTTGGAAAAAGAAGAGGCGGCAGCCTGCAGGGGAGCGCAGGGCAGCTAAGGAAGAACCCCCCTCCCTCTGGTACACACAACGGCATGCACGTTATAGTGGGGCTTTTCCTCCTACTAACTCAATCACAGGGAGAGACAGGTGTCCCTTTGTACCTCTGAGAGGCCTGAGGAGGAATGCACAGGGAGCTGCAAGGCTGGATGGGAGCGGAGAGGCGCAGAGAGGGTGGATGGAGCGCTCTGGGAGGTCGGACCAAATGGAGGGAATTTTCTGTTTCAAATGGGGAAAACTTCCTCGGCTCAGAGGATCAGGGACAGGTCCCAGTAGGGGAGTAATAGTTTAAATTTGGATGATTTAGGAAGATGAAGGAGCTGATGGTGTGATTGAAAGCCCCGGTGGGAGCTATCTTCCTCTTTAGAGAGATACGGGTCCAAGGAAGGGAGACACTCAGGCTGGTCATTTCCCTGGAACGATGCTATGAATCGATAATCTCTTCTCTCTAACTCTACCTTTTAGATCTGTGGTCCCCCACTACAGTTTGGGGGTTTGTTTGTTTGTTTTTTTTTTTTTTTGAGACAGAGTCTCACTTTGTTGCCCAGGCTAGAGTGAGTGCCGTGGCATCAGCCTAGCTCACAGCAACCTCAAACTCCTGGGCTCAAGCAATCCTGCTGCCTCAGCCTCCCGAGTAGCTGGGACTACAGGCATGCGCCACCATGCTCGGCTGATTTTTTCTATATATATTAGTTGGCCAATTAATTTCTTTCTATTTATAGTAGAGACGGGGTCTCGCTCTTGCTCAAGCTGGTTTCGAACTCCTGACCTTGAGCAATCTGCCTGCCTCAGCCTCCCAGAGTGCTAGGATTACAGGCGTGAGCCACTGCGCCCGGCCTTGGGTTTTTTTTTATAGCTAGTATAACTCCCTCCGAATCTCCTTGTAACATTTGTTTCTGTATTGAGAAGACCTAAGCTTCCTAGATTTGGTGGTAGTGACAAATGGGAAGATATTTACAGGGAAGAAAGCTACAGCAACAGTATGGAAAGATGTTTCAGTATCACTTAAAGTAGAAAGCTAGTCCCGCTTTCCAAATCCAGCGTAGAATTTGTCTATCTATAGGATACCACTAAGTGGGTGTTCTGTGCCTTCCCAAAATCAGTGAGGAAGAGGCATAGAGGCCAATCCATGAAATCAAGGATTAGAGGTCTGGCTCTAACTTTCCAACGATGGGTTCTATGGACAATGTGAGGATGGGCGAGCCATTTCATCGTTCTACGTCTCAGTACATGGAGACTACACTTTCCTTACATGAAAGTCATAGGGATTAAATAATAGTATGCATAAAAAACACTCAGCACTGTGCCTTATTTAAATTACCCATTTAACATGAACTAGAAGTCCAGGTAGCATTTATGGCTCCTGTACTTGTGGTTCATGTTAAATGGATAATGTACGGATAAATTCCATTCAACACCAACATGACCGTATCTTTCCTCTTTATTCTCTCTGCCCACAGTTGCCAGCCCTTTACATGGTCTCTATTCATCTTCTGTCTCAATTTCACTAGCCTATGTTGCTTCAATTATCGATCTCCTACTTCTCGGGTGTAAAATATGAGGAGATAGACATTATATACACATGATGTAATAATGCACAACCCTCTTTAATCAGAAATAGAAGAGCTGATCAGTTGTTTTGAACTAACGTAAACCCAGTGAAATAGTCATTTCATTTTAGTCACTTTGAGTATTGCATCCAGGAATGGAATTTAAGCGCTCCTCCTGGTGACCAATGGTGTATTGCAAGTGTTTAAGGAGATTCTAGATCCTACATGAAATGGTGCCACTTTGAGGTTCAAGCCTTAGGGTTGTGTTCAATTTAAGAAAAACTCATTAGACATCTCCTTCTAACTATCACAGTCCCTGTGCTAGATTTTGTTGGTTAAAAGACTAAAAAGACCCATTCATGTACCCAAGGTTCTTTCATCTTGTGGAGGAGACAGGCACATAAATCTACCGCTTTGATTCATGAACAATGGCTTGAATAGACCAGTGCATAAGCAATTATACGAGGATGGAAAATGAAAAATTTGGTGGACATTCACAG